ATGGAGGGATGGATACAGAGATGGATGGATAGATACAGAGTTAGGTACAGAGATAGGTACAGAGATGGATGGATAGAGAGATGGATGGATGGATGGATGGATAGATAGTTACAGAGATACAGAGATGGATGAATGGATACAGAGATGGATGGATGGATAGATAGGTAGATTGATTGATTGATTGATTAATACAGAGATGGATGGATGGGTGGATGGATGGAGAGATGGATACAGAGATGGATGGATGGATGGATGGAGAGATGGATACAGAGATGGATGGATGGATGGATGGATGGATAGATAGATAGATAGATAGATAGATAGATAGATAGATAGAGAGATAGAGAGATACAGAGATGGATGGATGGATGAGTAGGTAGGTTGATTGATTGATTGATTGATTGATTGATACAGAGATGGATGGATGGATGGATGGAGAGAGAGAGAGAAAGGATGGATGGATGGATGGAGAGAGAGATAGAGAGATGGATACAAAGATGGATGGATGGATTGATTGATAGATACAGGGATGGATGGATGGATGGATAGATACAAAGATAGATAGAGAGATGTATGAATGGATAGAGAGAGGGGGAGGGATGGATGGATGGATGGAGAGAAACAGAGAGATGGATACAGAGATGGATGGATGGATACAGAGATGGATGGATTGATAGATACAGAGATGGATGGATGGATGGATGGATGGATGGATGGATGGATGGATGGATGGATGGATGGATGGATAGATAGATAGATGTATGAATGGATAGAGAGAGAGATGGATGGATGGATAGATAGATAGATGATAGATAGATACATATGGACAGTGATAAGTAGGTAGATGGATATGAATGCTGGAATGAATGCCACCTGCCCCCCCCCCCCTCGATTGCCTCCATGCAGTGGGCGTTGCAGTTTGACTCGATGTATGTATGGCAGCAAAAGCGGTGCTAAACTGCGTTAACCCTCCCGTGTGGCGCGCTCTCTCTGCTCCCTCTGCAGGTGGAGGCGGAGGAGGAGCGCCGGCGCTTTGAGGAAGGCAAGGGCCGCTACCTGCAGTCCAAAGCCAAGCGCCAGGCCAAGCTGCAGCCCCTCACCCAGCAATGACCCATCGTCCCCTGCGGAGGAGGAGGAGGAGGAGGCCCATCATCCACACCAACACCATAGGACCGGTTCCGAAACCCAGGGAAACGGCGCAGTTTACACGGATTCGGCAATGTTACCATTCAGGCTCTCGGACTCCAACTCCCAGCATCCCTTGCAGCTGGGGATGATGGGATATAGAGTCCAATGAGGCGGTACTCCATTGAGAGATATTTCTTCATTCCAACATGATATGTAATATAGCAAGAGTCAACCACTCATTGTACTCCGACTCCCATCATTCCCAGCAATTGAATGATAATGGGAGTTGTAGTCCCTACAAAAGTGCTGGAAGGCATCCCTGTGCCTATCAATAACCACAAAAGTGCTGTCCTCTGAACTTCAGCGGACTCCACCTCCCATTATCCCTCACAAATGCAGGATGATGGGTGTTGTAGTCCCACCAAAATTGCTGGAAGGCAGTCCTTTTCTACAGTGATAGCCATCAAGACACTTCTTTTGAACCTCCTGACGCTGTTGGGACTCCAACTCCCATTATCTTTCACGAATGCAGGATGATGGGAGTTGTAGTCACAACAAAAGTACTGAAAACGGTCCTTTTCTACAGTGATGACCATCAAGGCATCCCTCTTGAACTTCCTAACGCTCCGGGGACTCCAACTCCCATTATCCCTCACAAATGCAGGATGATGGGAGTTGTAGTCCCAACAAAAGTCCTGGAAGAGGGTCCTTTTCTACAGCGATAGCCATCAAGGCGCTTCTCTTGAACTTCCTAATGTTCCGGGGACTCCAACTCCCATTATCCCTCACAAATGCAGGATGATGGGAGTTGTAGTCCCAACAAAAGTGCTGGAAGGCAGTCCTTTTCTACCATGATTGCCATCAAGGCATTCCTCTTGACCCTCCTGACGCTGTTGGGACTCCAACTCCCATTATCCTTCACAAATGCAGGATGATGGGAGTTGTAATCCCAACAAAAGTGCTGGACATCAATTGCACATAAATAGCCATCCTTTCAAACTGTAGCTCTCCTTCCGGATGTTGAGAGACTACAACACCCATCATCCAGGTGTGTGACAGGTGTGCAAATGCACCTGGATGAACCCCACCAGTAGAAGATGCATTCCCTCCCGTATTACGAACTGCAAATCCCATCATCCTCGCCGTTCCATTCCAGAAAGAGCGACCGACATGGCTCTCTGCATTCGAACCAAGCATCCTCCTCTGTGGAAATATTATATATATATATGTATATGTATATGTATATGTATGCTTAATTTATTTAATGGGACCTTGCAAATAAAGGCGGTCTTGCCTTTCGAGCCCAAATGTTGTCGCGTCGTTGATTTTGAAGGAATGATGTGCAATATTCATAAAAGGCCCCACATGAAAGGACTAGGTGGGGGTTGATGGATGGATGGATAGATAGATGGTAGAGATGTTGGATGGATGAATGGATGGATAGATGGTAGAGATGATGGATGGATGGATGGATGGATGGATGGATGGATGGATGGATGGATGGATAGATAGATAGATGGTAGAGATGATAGATGGTAGAGATGATGGATAGATGGTAGAGATGACGGATAGATGGAAAGATGATAGAAATAATGGATGGATGGATAGATAGATGGTAGAGATGATGGATGGATAGATAGATAGATAGATAGATAAATAGATAGATAGATAGATAGATAGTAGAGATGATAGATGGTAGAGATGATGGATAGATGGTAGAGATGACGGATAGATGGAAAGATGATAGAAATAATGGATGGATGGATAGATAGATGGTAGAGATGATGGATGGATGAATAGATGGTAGAGATGGATGGATGGATGGATGGATGGATAGATGGTAGAGATGATGGATGGATGGATGGATGGATGGATAGATAGATAGATAGATAGATAGATAGATAGATAGATAGATAGATGGTAGAGATGATGGATGGTAGAGATGATGGATAGATGGTAGAGATGACGAATAGATGGAAAGGTGATAGAGATGATGGATGGATGGATAGATAGATGGTAGAGATGATGGATGGATGGATAGATGGATAGATAGATGGTAGAGATGATGGATGAATAGATTGAAGATGATGAATGAATAGATAAAGAGAATGGATGGATAGATAGCAGAGATGATGGATGGATGGAAAGATGGTAGAGATGATGGATGGGGTCCTTCTACCCCGCCCTTCTCAACCCCCTCAGGGCGGCTTACAAAAGGCACAATTCGATGCCTAACAATTACAACATACAATGCAATATACAACACACAAATTTAACACATAATATCACAGTTATAACTGATTAAAACAATCAGACAATAAACTAGCAGCAATTAAAATACATCTTGTGGTCAATGTTCACCAAATCCAAGTCCGTAAACCATTTAGCATTGTCATTGTCCTTTCCTACTCTGGTCATTATTGGTTGTCTTTGTCCATCTGCCAGGCTACCCGAAGGCCTCGTCCCACATCCAGGTTTTTAGCTTCTTCCTGAAGGAGAGGAGGGATGTTGATGTCCTAATATCCACGGGGAGTGCATTCCACAGGCGAGGGGCCACCACTGAGAAGGCCCTGTCCCTCGTCCCCACCAGTCTCGCTTGAGATAAAGGTGGGGCTGAGAGCAGGGCCCCCTCAGCAGATCTTAAATTCCGAGGTGGGACGTAGAAGGAGATACGTTCGGACAAATACGCTGAACCGGAACCGTATAGGGTTTTGTAGGTCAAAGAATGGAAAGATGATAGAGATGATGGATGGATGGATGGATGGATGGATATATAGATAGATGGTAGAGATGATGAATGGGTGGATAGATAGATGGTAGAGAGGATGGATGGATGGATGGATGGATGTATAGATAGCAGAGATGTTGGATGAATAGATTGATGGTAAAGACGATGGATGGAGAGATGGTAGAGATGGATGGATGTATAGGTGGTAGAGTGGATGGATGGATGGATGGATGGATGGATAGATGATAGAGAGGATGGATGAATAGATTGATGGTAGAGAGGATGGATGGATGGATGGATAGATGGTAGAAAGGATTGATGGATGGATGGATGTATAGATGTAGAGATGATGGAACGATTGATGGTAGAGAGGATGGATGGATGGATAGATGGTAGAGAATGGATGGATGGAGATGATGGATAGATGGATAGATATTTGGTAGATATGATGGATGGATAGATGGATGGATGGATGAATAGATAGAGATGATGGATGGATGGATAGATTGACGGTAGAGAGGGTGGGCAGATGGATGGATGGATAGATGGGAGAAATGATGGATAGATGGATGGATGGATGGATAGATAGATGGTAGAGGTGAAGGATGGATAGATGGTAAAGATGGATGGAAGGATGGAAAGATGGTAGAGATGATGGATGGATGGATGGATGGATGGATAGTTGGTAGAAATGATGGATGGATGTCCCCCTTTTGACTGTTGGATTATGGCTTGACTTCAAAGGTGGGCTTCCCTTCTATAAGTTCTTTATGGAGAGAGCTTGGAGGGGACTCGCTTACGCCTGTGTCCCTGTATAACTGAATGGGGTCAGACTAGATGACCTCTTCTAACTATTGGGATATGGATTTCCTTCCAGAGAGGTGGGCTTTCCTTCCTTTAAGCCATAGTTAGGTGGGCATCCTTTAGGGTCTTTTTTTTGGCGATATATCCCTGTTTAGTTCATTGGGGGTCAGACTAGATGACCTTTGGGGTCCCCTTCTGACTACTGGAATAAGTACTTCCTTCCAAAGAGGTGGGCTAACCCAGATGGTTAGGTGGGCCTCATTTGGGAGTGTTTTAGTGATATACCCTTCCATAATGGAGTGGGGCCAGGCTAGATGACCCTTGGGGGCCCCCTTCCGACTCAGAGCCCGCCTGACTCGATGCTTCCTGGCATCTGGGCTGAGCTCAGCAGCGGCTTTTCACTTCCAATTAAGGCTTCAGAGGCATCGGAGCGAAGAAGGAGAAGAAGAACTTGTTTTGTGTGCTGCCCGCCTTTTCCAAAGCCTTTCAGGGACAAAAGGTGTTGGGATATCTATCTGCATATCTATCTATCCATCCATCCATCCATCCATTCATCCATCATCTCTACCATCTATCTATCTATCTATCTATCTATCTATCTATCTATCTATCTATCTATCTATTTACATCTATCTGTCCACCTACATACCTATCATTACACACACACACATATCTACATAAATATATATAGTTACATTTACACAACATATACACACATATGTATACATATATAGATACACATACATATATACACATACATATACATATACATACTTATAAATACATATATATACATATACATACACACATATATACATATATACACACATTTATATACACATACATATACACATTTATATATACATACATATATATATATATATATATATATATATATATATATATACTTATACAGACCTATATATATACACACATATACGGTACATTTACCTTGAAGGAGCTGGGGGTGGTGACGGCCGACAGGGAGCTCTGGCGTAGGCTGGTCCATGAGGTCACGAAGAGTCGGAGACGACTGAACGAATGAACAACAACATACAGTACATACATATAATATACATACATACATATATATATATATATATATATACACACATACATATATACACATATTTATATCTACATACACAGACACACACATATATATACATTATAGATACATATGCACATATACATACATATATATACACACATATATACATACACACACACACACACATGTAGTTATACAGACCTATATATACACACACAGACCTATATATACACACATATATACATACACACACACACACACATGTAGTTATACAGACCTATATATATACACACATATATGGTACATATAATATACACACACATATATATATACACACACATACATACATATATACAAACACATTTATATATACATACACAGACACACACACATATATATACTTATACAGACCTATATACACACGCACATATACATACATATAATATACATATATATACACATACATACATATATACACACACATTTATATATACATACACAGACACACACATATATATACTTATACTGACCTATATACATACATATAATATACATATATATACACATACTTACATATATACACACACATTTATATATATATGTATATATATATATATGTATATATACACAGATACAGATACACACTTATATACATATATATACATACTGATACAGACAAATATATACATATACATACATATAATATACATATATATACACATACATATATACATATTTATACAGACATATATATAAATATATACATACACATAATACATATATATATACATATATACACACATATACATACACATTCACACACACATATATATACATTGTAGATACATTTATATATACATACACAGATACACACAGATATATACATATATAGATACACACATATATACATATTTATACAGACATATATATAAATATATACATACACATAATACATATATATATACACACATATACATACACACACTCACACACACATATATATATACATTGTAGATACACACATTTATCTATACATACATAGACACACACACACACATATAGATATATACATACTTATACAGACATATATATACATATACATACACACATATACATAGACATTTATATATACAAACACACACACACATATATATAGGTAAAGGTAAAGGTTTTTCCCTGACCTTAAGTCCAGCCATGTCTGACTCTGGGGTGTGGTGCTCATCTCCATTTCTAAGCCCAAGAGCCGGCGTTGTCCGTAGACACCTCCAAGGTCATGTGGCCGGCATGACAGCTTGGAGCACTGTTTTATATATATATATATATATATATATATATATATATATACTCCCAAATGATAGATAGATACAGACACCTATATATGTATGTATCTATTCCTATCTCTTTCTCTATCTTTCTATTTCTATCAGTCTTCCCAGCATAGATATGACTCTCAAATGAGAGATAGATAGATACATAGGCACCTATATATGTATGTATATGCATCTATTCCTATCTCTCTGTTTCTATCAGTCTTCCCATTTATCTTTTTCTATCTTTCTCTTTTTCCCCATCTATGTATCCATCTACACATCTATCTTTCCTTCCTCCTTTCTGCCCCTTTGCACTCTGCCCATGCTCAGAGGCAGCCTGGAAAAGCCTTGCCCATGATGGGCAGCAGCTACCCCCTCCCTCCCTCCCTCCCCTCTCCCTCCCTCCCTCCTTCCTTTCCTGCGCATGCGCAGCTGGCCCCCATCCTGGACAGAAACAGCAGAGGAGAGAGGAGAGTCTCCCCCCTTGGAAGCCTGGTGAGTGGGGGGGGGGCCTTCCCCTAATTCAAGGGCTTTGGTCTCCTTGCAAGACCCCCTCCCTTGGAGCCCCTTGTCTTGCATTGTTGGCATTGTTTGCATTGGGGTTTTTGTGTGCATGGTTTGCATTGGGATTTTGTTTGCATTGTTTGCATTGGGTTTTTGTGTGCATGGTTTGCATTGGGGTTTTTGTGTGCATGGTTTGCATTGGGATTTTGTTTGCATTGTTTGCATTGGGTTTTTGTGTGCATGGTTTGCATTGGGGTTTTTGTGTGCATGGTTTGCATTGGGGTTTTTGTGTGCATGGTTTGCATTGGGTTTTTGTGTGCATGGTTTGCATTGGCAATGCCACATCCCATTGCAAAAAATGAGGGTGGCCTTGAGTCAATGGGAATGGTCCTGAATTTGGCTGGCTGGCTGGCTCCCCCCAATTTTGCATTGAGTTGGGGGGCTTCAGCAAGGCAATGCAATGCAATGCAATGCCTCCTTGTTGTGGTGTTGTTGCTTTGTTTACAACAATACAATCCTTTATTCTCTTCCTCAAAATGCATTCCTAGGATGGGGAGGATGAGCATCAGCATTCCTACTGTTGTGTTGAGCTAGTTCCTTAACTCAATAATAATAACAATAACATATATATATATATATATATATATATATATATATATATATTAGTATTATACTAATAACATTAATACAAATATTAGGTTATGATGATGATGATTAGCTTATTCCCCAATAATAATTATTATTATATTTAGTTTATTACCCAAATATTTATTTATTATGTCTAGTTTGTACCCTAATTATTGTTATTACTATCTTAATTAGGTTTAGGTTGACCCCAATTATTTATTATTATTAGTAGTATGTTTACTTTGTACCCCAGTTATTATTATTATTATTATTATTATTATTATTATGTCTTGTTTGTACCCCAATTATTATTATTATGTTTCATTTATTCCCCAATTTATTATTATTATTATTATTATTATTATTATTATTATTATTAGGTCTAGTTTGTACTCCAATTATTATTGTTACTATTATTATTAGGTTTAGGTTGACCCCAATTATTTATTTATTTATTTATAATAATATGTTTGTACCCCAATTATTATTCTTATGTTATATTCTTATGTTATATTCTTCTTATTTAGTTTGTACCCATATTATTGTTGTTGTTGTTGTTGTTGTTGTTGTTGTTATTATTATTACGCATTTGTATATGCATAGTTATAGTAATAGGAGTTGTAGTCATACACATAATAATAGTAAATGTAAAAATAGTAATAGTAATAACTATACTGCAATAATAGTAAATAATAGTTATAGTTATAACTATCAATAACAGTAGAATGCAATAAAAAAGAGCATTAATAATGATTTATTTTGCCATTATTATTAATAGTGGTAGCAAGACAATAATAATAATAATAATAATAATAATAATAATAATAATAATAATATATTTTAAGGTGGGAAGGATTTGGGACACCGGAACAAAATATTAATAATAGTACAGGAATTTAATAATAACCATACTGGGAAATAATAATAACAATAATAATAATAATAATAATAATACTGGAATGTAATACTGATATGGGAAAATAATAGTAACAGTAATAATAATAATAGTAATAGTAATAATAATAATAAATTTGAAGGTGGGAAGGATTTGGGAGAGTGGGATAGAATAATAATAATAATAATAATAATAATAATGGAATATAATAATAATGGAATAATAATAATAATAATAATAATAATAATAATAATAATAATATATTTGAAGGTGGGAAGGATTTGGGAGACCGGAACAAAATATTAATAATAATAGTACTGGAATTTGATAATAACAATACAGGAAAATAATAATAATTATAATAATAATGGAATGTAATACTGATACTGGACAATAATAATAATAATAATGAAAATACATTGAAAATGGGAAGGATTTGGGAGAGTGGAATAGAATAATAATAATAATAATAATAATAATAATACAAGAATTTAATAATACAGGATAATAATACAGGAACAGAATAACCATAAGCCTATGAGCCCACGAGGACCTTAAGATCGTCCGGGGAGGCCCTTCTCTCGGTCCCGCCTGCCTCACAGGCACGCCTGGCGGGGACTAGGGAACGGGCCTTCTCGGTGGTGGCCCCCCGGCTGTGGAACTCCCTCCCTGCTGAGATCCGGCAGGCGCCTTCCCTCATGGCCTTCCGCAAGGGCCTGAAGACCTGGCTCTTCGAAAAGGCCTTCAATTAAGTGCTTTGTTTTCTTGGAATGACCACCGGAATGGACTATGACTACGAGATTGATTATGATTCAAACGAGACGAAGCGGATTTTTAGCTTTATTAGCTGTGTGTTAGTAGGATGTATGTTTAGCCCTAATCTATTGTAATTGTTGTCTTTATGTTCTATGTTGTGTACACCGCCACGAGTCGCCTTCGGGCTGAGAGTGGCGGTTAACAAATGCAAATAATAAATAAATAAATAATAAATAATAATAATGGGATGTAATAATGATACAGGAATCTAATAATAATACAGGATAATAATAATAATAATAATAATAATAATAATAATAATAATAATAATGGAATGTAATACTGATACTGGAAAATAATAGTAATAATAATAATAAATTTGAAGATGGGAAGGATTTGGGAGAGTGGAATAGAATAATAATAATAATAATAGTAATAATAATAATAATATTACAGGAATTTAATAATAATGCAGGATAATAATAATACAGGAATAGAATAATCATAATAATGGGATGTAATAATGATACAGGAATCTAATAATAAAAATACAGGATAATAATAATAATAATAATAATAATAATAATAATAATAACAACATATTTGAGGGTCAGAAGGAGACTGGAAAATAATAATAATAATAATAATAATAATAATAATAATAGTTTCTTTCCCCGCAAAAGCATCTGTTTGGCCCTGGAGGTTTCATGTCGTTCCAGGAAGGAAAAAAGGCACCCTTTGGAGAGCCGTGACCTAATTAGAAAAACGTGTCGCTGATTAATCCTCCGAGGAGCTGGAATCAATTAAATCCGCACCAAAAGAGAAGGAAAGGAAAGGAGGAGAGAGACGGCATCTAATTCTAGAACTGGAAGAGCTCCCCAAAGGTCATCTAGTCTGGCCTCATTCCGCCCAGCACAAACCAAGCATAGCTGAGACGCATAATAATAATAATAATAATAATAATAATAATAATACCATAATATTACTATATATTATTACATGTGTGCATACTATGAATCCCATTAAGGAGTTTAGTTTGTTTAACTTGTAATGACTCCCCTTCGGGCTGAGAACGGCGCCATATAAATGACGTAAATAAATACATAAATAAGTTCAATATATTTATTACTAGCTTGGGCTCAGGTCCATCATCAGTGTAGATCACTCTTTCTCTGGTTGTGGGTGAACTACAACTCCCAGAAAGGAAGGTCACTTCCCCCCAAACCCCTCCTGGAAGGGCTCCCCAAAGGTCATCTAGTCTGGCCTCATTCCGCCCAGCACAACCCAAGCATAGCTGAGACGCATAATAATAATAATAATAATAATAATAATAATAATAATAACAACAACAACAACAACAACACCACCATAATAATGCTATATATTATTACATGTGTGTATACTATGAATCCCATTAAGGAGTTAGGTATGTTTGATTTGTAATGACTCCCCTTCGGGCTGAGAAGGGTGCCATATAAATGCCGTAAATAAATACATAAATAAATAAGTCCAATATATTTATTACTAGCTTGGGCTCAGGTCCGTCACTCTTTCTCTGGTTGTGGGTGAACTACAACTCCCAGAAAGGAATGTCACTTCCCCCACAAACCCCTCCACTAATCGACTTTCAGCATATTAGGAATACGTGCCAAGTTTGGTCCAGATCCATCGATATTTGGGTTCATAGTATGCTCTGGATGTAGGAGAACTACAACTCCCCCAAATCAAGGTGGATTTCCCCTAAAGACCTCCAATATTTTTGCTGCATTTGTGTATACTATGAATCCCATTAAGGAGTTTGGTATGTTTAATTTGTAAGGACTCCCCTTCGGGCTGAGAAGGGCGCCATATAAATGCCATAAATAAATACATAAATAAGTTCAATATATTTATTACTAGCTTGGGCTCAGGTCCATCATCAGTGTAGATCACTCTTTCTCTGGTTGTGGGTGAACTACAACTCCCAGAAAGGAAGGTCACTTCCCCCCAAACCCCTCCTGGAAGGGCTCCCCAAAGGTCATCTAATCTGGCCTCATTCCGCCCAGCACAACCCAAGCATAGCTGAGACACATAATAATAATAATAATAATAATAATAATAATAATAACAACAACAACAACAACAACAACAACAACAACAACAACAACAACAACAACAACAATACCACAACAACAACAACAATAATACCACCGTAATAATACTATATATTAATACATGTGTGTTATGCTATGAATCCCATTAAGGAGTTTGGTATGTTTAATTTGTAAGGACTCCCCTTCGGGCTGAGAAGGGCGCCATATAAATGCCATAAATAAATACATAAATAAGTTCAATATATTTATTACTAGCTTGGGCTCAGGTCCATCATCRGTGTAGATCACTCTTTCTCTGGTTGTGGGTGAACTACAACTCCCAGAAAGGAAGGTCACTTCCCCCCAAACCCCTCCTGGAAGGGCTCCCCAAAGGTCATCTAATCTGGCCTCATTCCGCCCAGCACAACCCAAGCATAGCTGAGACACATAATAATAATAATAATAATAATAATAATAATAATAATAACAACAACAACAACAACAACAACAACAACAACAACAACAACAACAACAACAACAATACCACAACAACAACAACAATAATACCACCGTAATAATACTATATATTAATACATGTGTGTTATGCTATGAATCCCATTACGGAGTTTGGTATGTTTGAT